GGAGGTACAGGAGGGTGTGGGAGGTACAGGAGGGTGGGGAGGCAGGAGGGGTGGGGGAGGTACCAGCAGTCACTCACCTGGGGAACAGGCAGGCTCGAGGTGTAGGTAGAATTTGTAAGCGTCAGTGTCTTTGCTCTTACTCTCCTGGATGTCAATCTTCTTCACGCATAACCCACCTGTGTGATGAGATAGGTAGCATGTGAGGGAGGGAGGAAGGAGAGAAGAGAGGGAGCATGTGAGGGAGAGAAGAGAGGAGCATGTGAGGAGGAGGGAGTGAGGGAGGAGAAGAGAGGGAGCATGTGAGGGAGGGAGGAAGGAGAGAAGAGAGGGAGCATGTGAGGGAGGAGCGGAGTGAGGAGAAGAGAGAAAGACAGAAAATAATCATATTTTCCGATTAGGTTAGGTTAGGTTAGGTTAGGTTGAGGTTAGGTTAGGTTAGGTTAGGTTAGGTTAGGAGTCACAAGCAAGGTGTTATCAGGCAGGTAACTGACCGATAACGACACATGATAAGTGGCTGACTACCCGGCCTGGTAAAAACAGTTAGCCACCCTGGAGTTTCGTTCTTGCTACCATCAGGTTCAGACACCACTAAGGGTCTGCCACCACTAGTGTACCACCACTAGGGGTCTGCCACCACTAAGGGTCTACCACCACTAGGGGTCTGCCACCACTAGTGTACCACCACTAGGGTCTGCCACCACTAAGGGTCTGCCACCACTAGTGTACCACCACCAGTGTACCACCACTAAGGGTCTGCCACCACTAGTGTACCACCACTAGGGTCTGCCACCACTAGTGTACCACCACTAGGGTCTGCCACCACTAAGGGTCTGCCACCACTAGTGTACCACCACTAGTACCACCACTAAGGGTCTGCCACCACTAGTGTACCACCACTAGGGGTCTGCCACCACTAAGGGTCTGCCACCACTAGTGTACCACCACTAGTGTACCACCACTAGTGTACCACCACTAGGTCTGCCACCACTAGTGTACCACCACCAGTGTACCACCACTAGTGTACACCACTAGTCTGCCACCACTAGTGTACCACCACTAGTGTACCACCACTAAGGGTCTGCCACCACTAGTGTACCACCACTAGTCTGCCACCACTAAGGGTCTGCCACCACTAGTGTACCACCACTAGTACCACCACTAGTGTACCACCACTAGTGTGTACCACCACCTAAGGGTCCCACCACTAGTGTACCACCACTAGGGGTCTGCCACCACTAAGGGTCTGCCACCACTAGTGTACCACCACTAGTGTACCACCACTAGTGTACCACCACTAGGGGTCTGCCACCACTAGTGTACCACCACTAGTGTACACCACCACTATGTACCACCACTAGGGGTCTGCCACCACTAGTGTACCACCACCAGTGTACCACCACTAGGGTCTGCCACCACTAAGGTCTACCACCACTAAGGGTCTACCACCACTAGTGTACCACCACTAAGGGCTCACCACCACTAAGGCTACCACCACTAGGGTTCACCACCACTAGTGTGACCACCACTAATGTTACCACCACTAAGGGTCTACCACCACTAAGGGTCTTCCACCACTAAGGGTCTGCCACCACTAAGGGTCTGCCACCACTAGTGTACCACCACTAGGGGTCTACCACCACTAAGGGTCTGCCACCACTAAGGGTCTGCCACCACTAAGGGTCTGCCACCACTAGTGTACCACCACTAGGGGTCTACTACCACTAAGGTGTTCACCACTTAGGGTCTACCACCACTAAGGGTCTACCACCACTAAGGGTCTGCCACCACTAGTGTACCACCACTAGGGTCTACTACCACTAAGGGTCTACCACCACTTAGGTCTACCACCAATTAAGGGTCTACCACCACTAAGGGTCTACCACCACTAAGGGTCTACCACCACTAAGGGTCTGCCACCACTAAGGGTCAAACAAGGATGACACAACGAAGCCTAGCGGTTAATTACATGGCTGCTTCTCCTTATTTCGCCAGATTCATCATAAAACAACAAAGTTGGTGACTCAATCTAAGCATAACAACAGAGCCCCGGTGACTTTTTACATAATGTCTTATCTTGGTAACTAATTAGGTTTAGTTTGTTTATGTTTGGTTAGGTTACGTTTGGTTAGGTTAGGTTAGGTTGAGGTTACGTTTGGTTACGTTACGTTTGGTTAGGTGTGATTAGGTTAGGTTAGGGTGGCTAATCTTCAGGTGAATATTAGTTAATCACTACAACCATATTTCAATGTAGTGAAACGTCTATTTAACGTAATACAGAGATGAAAGTCCGTTATATCGAGTGTCCGTTAGATATGAGACCCACCTCCAACTAACGGATTATATTGAGAGAAGTCCCTTATATGGAGGCTTCACTATACATACGGAGTCTCTATCAAATTATGTCAGCCACGTGTTTACCTTCCCACCGAGAGGGATTCGAACACGTGATTGGTGGCTAACAAGAGAGATTCGAACACGTGATTGGTGGCTAACAAGAGAGATTCGAACACGTGATTGGTGGCTAGCAAGAGAGATTCGAACACGTGATTGGCACTATACTGTAAGATCATGCATGGCTCCATAGATGATGTCGTCGTGGCATTTTGTGCATAATTTACAAACACATACAAACACATACACACACACACACATACACACACACACACACACACACACACACATAAACAAACACACACAAACACACATACAGACCAGGTGGTACTCGTCCTTGGTGCCAGTGGGTGATAGTGACCCGCCAGCATGTCCGGATATATTTTATCTCTTTAATAATCTGACTCATTTCCCAGCGATAATAGTGGCTGAGTTACAACACTTTTGTGATGGTACTGCCTGAAATATACTGAAGTGATGAAGCCTTGTAGGACCCGGTATAAGGGCTACACACACACACACACACACACACACACACACACACACACACACACACACACACACACACACACTGGAAAATGTCGGGAATAATGGCCACTTTCTAAGACCTTATAAGAAACTGCTTGAGGGGTAGCACGCGATATCGGCACAGAAAGAAAAAATCGGTGCAGAGATCGGTACAAAAAATATCGGTACAGAGACAGAGTGAGAAAGACGTCAATACAGGTGTTTAGTTTAAAAACAAGTTTACTACAGGTAGAGAGATGTACATACCTTCGTTAGGTGGGAGATGATGTGCCAGATTGAGGCCACAGCTCAGGACCAGCACCACCACATAATGGCACTGGAGGTGGGTAGGTGATGGTGCCAACTTCATGGCACTAGGGTCAGGCACTACTAGGTACACTTACTGGCTGTTCAAATCCCCCGACGCGCATCCTAGGAAAGGTTAACATGTCGTTAGTGTTTAGTTAGGCTAGGTTAGAGTACAATAGCTAATGTTAGATACCATTAGATAAATAATACAATAATAAAGTAAAATAAGACCAAAACATTAAGTCAACATTATACACTACGAACCTAAACATAATACTTATTAGTTTCTACCACTCGTAAACTCTAACACATTCCAAATAATTAAAAAAATAATTATTATTCATAGATTTTTCACGATATATTTACAATTATGTTTGTTTAGTATTTAGGTCTTTACTTACGCACCCTATATAAGGACGGCAGTCCTATATACTGTACAGTACACATGCAAATCAGCCGTCAAACTGAATTACACGGTAAAGAATAAGGCAGTGGACCTCGCACCCAGAGCATGTATTTTATATGGTACAAAATTTTCTATATAACGGTAAATTAGTGTCCAAGACATTGGTAGTTAAGATGAATTTACAGAGTTTTGTTAAGTGGCAACAAAGAGCGAGCGATTTGGTCTGCACTCTCATATGTAATGCTCAAGGCTATGTTTTCTATTTTCGCCACAAATTCGGCACTGAGTACTGTAAGTGCAGGGGAAGGATTTCTCATGAGTTCCCAACATTGCCTATAGCTAATACAGACAACAAAGGTACAGTAATTACTACTTCAGTCTCATCCGCGGCTGAACGTAGCGAGCGTGACGAGTACACCCCACCACAGCCTGTGAGCTACTGTACTCTTGTAGTCGCTCATGTTATCAACTTAGGACTTGAATGTCGCCATCAGCTGCACTAACCAACTGAAGGTCGCTAAATTGTGTATTGAGATAGTTAGATCTGAATACGTTTGGCACCTAGTATACAGAGCTGTATATAAGTGCAGGAATTATGTAACATACCGGATAATACCACATAAATCATAACACTGAGACCTCACCGTATAAGATAACACATTATATCGACTACCTTGTTACGCGCTTAACGTCAACGACTACTATCTGTCCTGATATTCATTTTTCTATAACAATAATACATACTGAAGTGTACTGAAACAAAGTCCTCACAGAAGTCCATGATATATACTGTTATATGACACAGGAAGTCTGGAGTATGTAAGGGGGCACTACACGCCTACAACACCCTGGACAGTACACCCCACTGACAAGCGAATGTGTTAGTGGGAAACATATATACAGTATACTGTTCTGTGAGTTAACCACACACACACACAGCTGATAACGACTACTCAAAAAGCTTACTTATCATTAGCATATTCTCCACATGATCACGTGCACCTACTGTGGCCTGTGACCACTGTGGGGCCAGGCTAGTAGGTTACGTTAGTGTTTGTAAAATTGCAGCAATTTTCCCGAGAACAGTGAAAGAAACACAAACTTTTTTTGGTCAATAATACGTAAAATACTCTGATTTACGTGATTTAACCCCACATTTTCCCTCGTCTTCAAAGCCCTCCCCATTTTGTGGGGTATTAATATTGAAGTGGGGGGGAGGTCGTAGAACAAACATATTGCACAAGAGACGGTTATCACCAGAACAAAGAGAAGAAAACACCTCAAGAAAACCTATATACCGTTGTTAGGTCTACGAGCAGCTGTTGTCCATACGGGGTGTTCCGTAAGTACCCTTCATAAATTAGGCTGTGTATTCCTGAGATATAAATAAAGATATATGACTAGATGACCAAACCTTCAATTCTCAATAGTTTCGGAGTTACAGTACATGACATGCTTGGTAGGAGTGTAATGAAACCTACTGTACTGTATATGGAGTGTACTGGTATATGAAACATCCAATATACTGCGTTAGTGACGTTTATTAACAATAATAATGCCAGATGATTTGTATTGATATTAACATTTAGAGGAAATGTTCAAGTTCCGCTCCTCTTGCTCAATACAGACCTCAGCCCGTTGCACTAGTGAGTGTTGCACACATTCAAAGACCCCAGGGGTGTTGTGAAAGTTTGTCACACTGTCCTGTACATGGCGCCACAATGGACGAGTTGTCGGTTCTGGGAAAACACAAGAAATATACTCTGCCACGTTCGTAGAGTGATACGGTATATATAATTTGTAATAAAAGTTTAATATCCTGCTATAATAGTCGAGAAAAGTTTATTTCTCTAGAAACAGGGCCGCCATTTGCAATTACGTCACCACCACGAGTCAAATTAGAAGCAATGACATTGTCTGGTCTTTGTTTTGAGAATGCCTGATGCTTGCTAAACAGGACAACATAGTGCTGTTATTGTTTTGATGATTCACTAATGAACCACTTGGATATAATATCATCATTTATATTAACCACTGGGTAAAATTTTACTTTAACTACCATAAGAATTTGGATGCTATATTGGGTATATTTTACGTTTTGGTCATCCCTGTACTTAGACATGCAGACTATGACTTCTGATGGCTTGCGATATGTTATGAGCGATTTAGACGGGTTCGATTCCCGGGCCAGTGGAAGTTGTTTGGACTTACTTCCTAGCCCCCAGTAGTCCCTGTTCACCTAGCAGTAAAGTAGGTACCTGTCGAAAGTTGCGAATTCGTATTCAGGGAGTTGTTGGAGCTTCCAATAACTTGATGACATAAACCACTGACTCTTCAGGCTTCTACGCCCTTAACTCATGAGACATAAAGGCAAGCATGAACTTAGCATGCTTCCCTGTTGGGCGCTGTAAACGCTTCTGCGCTTCACCTTACACAAGGATGTACGGGAGTGCCAAAAAAAAAAGAAAAAAAAAGGTAACCGTACTTTTCATTACATTCCTACCAAACCTGCCATGTGCTGTAACTCGGAAACTATTGAGAATTGACAATTTGGTCATTTAGAAATTTATCTTCATTTATATCTCAGGAATACACCCTCTGAATTATGAAAGGCATTTACGAAACACCCTATATATATATATATACGTACAATTATAACGTGACGAGTTTTATTTAATATATTTACTAATACTTGTTAGAAATATGGAAGACTTATACCGCTCAACCCGTGTGGTCTACAGTAGCCTCATGCCTCTCATCCTACATGGTCTACAGTAGCCTCATGCCTCTCATCCTACATGGTCTACAGTAGACTCATGCCTCTCATCCTACATGGTCTACAGTAGCCTCATGCCTCTCACATGCTCATGCCTCTCATCTACAGTAGCCTCATGCCTCTCATCCTACATGGTCTACAGTAGCCTCATGCCTCTCATCCTACATGGTCTACAGTAGCCTCATCCCTCTCATCCTACATGGTCTACAGTAGCCTCATGCCTCTCATCCTACATAGTCTACAGTAGCCTCATCCCTCTCATCCTACATGGTCTACAGTAGCCTCATGCCTCTCATCCTACATGGTCTACAGTAGCCTCATGCCTCTCATCCTACATGGTCTCAGAGTCACACACGTTGAGCATCGCAGGAAATCTCGTGTTATAATGCTCCGATAAGACCCTGAAGACCCACAAACACTTCCAAGAATAACAACTGATTGTGATCGTCAACAACAAGTGTCCGGCTATGATAAGACAGCATGAACACTAAACTGGTGCACTTAAAAATAACACACGGTTGAGTATTGCGGTTTTGGGTTACTTCCATCTCAGAAAAAAAGAAGGATTCATATACGAACTTAATCTAACCAAATCCAAAGTAACCTAACTGAAACTCAATGTAACCTAACCCGACCCAGCTAAACCTAACCTAATCTAACAAACCAAAACTTGACGTAACCTAACTTAACCATATCAAACCTAACTAAACTAAACTAAACCCTCGTGATGAGTTTGAACTTTCGAGTGACAGATTGATACGTGCGTGTGTGTGTGTGTTTACTGTACATTAATTTCGGTTTGGTTAGGGGGAACTACGAGTCTGTAATTTAACGTTACGGTTCTCCCTTGCCCTCGAGATGTACTGTAGCTCAGAGTACCCCCAAACTACTTAGGATAGAGCTGAGTTAGTGAATCCGGTATGAATACACGTGACGACTGTGGTAAAATATCCGCTTCCTGCACTGGCTAACCTCACTTGTTTCTCTGTTCCATTCTCGCTTTCTTTCATAACTTCATTCTCACATCTTTCTTTATTTCTTTCTCTACTTCATTCCTGCTTCTTTTTTTATTTATTTATCAACTTCATTCCTGCTTCTTTCTTTATTTCTTTCTCTACTTCATTCCTGCTTCTTTATTTATTTATTTCTCTACTTCATTCTCGCTTCTCTCTTTATTTCTTTCTCTACTTCATTCTCGTTTCTTTCTTTAATTTATTCTCTATTTTTTTGGGTTGACACATCTTAGGTATTAGTCAATATTACGCTTCGCATTTGTTCTGGTACTTTGGGGAACTAGTTTATGTGTCTGACTTAAGATCTCTCTCTCTCTCTCTCTCTACCACTTTCATTAATCAAAACAAAAAGATAATCTCATTTTATCAATTTGTGCTTTTTCCTCCGAGGCTACCCCCCCCCCCTCCCCCCATGTTACGCCAAAGGAAGGTTCTCCCACTCAATAACCTTTTGGACTTTTAGTCATTGTGTCTATCTTGATACCTACAGTATAGCCTTATCAGCAACATTCAATTTCTTATGGCGTATTTTACGGGGTACGACTTATTTTACTGGGTACTGCTTATTTTATGGGGTACTTCTTATTTTACGGGGTATTTCTTATTTTACGGGGTATTTCTTATTTTACAGGGTGCTTCTTATTTTACGGGAACAAGTTCAAAAACCTTTAAAGCATACACTTGAACACTATATTATTGAATGTGACACTGTCAAAGACTTCAGGCCACCTGACTTATTGTATCTTGAACTATGTAATTACTTCATTGAATCAGGGGTGCTTGTGGACATTCTTGCTGTTTATCCCAAATTTGCTAGCCCACACTGATTAGTCTTCAATTAGAATATGACTCCGATGTATGTGAACCACTGACCTACTGTATATATACCGCTAATGAATATGATGTATTTCTTTGTTTGTGTGCGAACCTCTGTCCTGCATGGCAGTGAACAGTGACATTACCCACATGAATCTGACCTATATAGTTTTAATGAATATGATGCATTCTTTGTGTACGAACCTCTGTCCTGTATGGCAGTGAAGAGTGACATTACCCACATGAATCTGACCTCTATACATACACAGTATATAGGTGTTAATGAATATGGTGTATTTATTTGTGTATGAACCTCTGTCCTGCGTGGCAGTGAGAAGTGATACCGCCCTCAGTGTCAAGACCTGACTGAATTACTCAGAATAGGCAAACTGTACTACAAGCTTTGCCAATAAATTTGTTAAACTAAAAAAACTAAAAAATACATAAATGACCTAGTTACGCCTCAACAACACAGAAATTTCAGTGTACAAACAGTGCCGGATTTAGACCTGTGGAGGCCCATGGGCAGCCTCTTTGTGGAGGCCCCCCTCATTATAACTACCCAAGAGGGTGGGGTGGCGAGTGAAGCGAGCCTAAACATCTGGGAGTTCCGGGGGGCGCTGTAAGCCCCCCGGGAAATTTTTGAAATTTGAACACTTCTTTGGAGAATTTTGAAGCCATATGCAATTATATTGAGGACATTAGAACATTGAGAAATGTTTAATTAACTGTATACTTACTGATAGTGTACAAATTCCCAACACACACACACACACACACACACACAAAAGTGAGACATGACTGGAGTCATCCATGTGGTTTCCAGTCGACCAGCCCTGATATAGCTACTACCGCACATGTCAAAAATTTTCAAGAGACTTCACAGAAAAGAATATATTATTAGTTATTACAGAGAGATGATTATTTGCATTATTAATCAGATAAACCTCTACTCAAATAATGGTTCTGTCCAAGAATGCATGTATAGGCTTCTTTAAGTCCAAGGTCAGATGTAATATGTGGAGGCCCCCAGATTGTGGAGGCCCCTGGGCAGCAGCCCACTTTGCCCACTCCTGAATCCGGCCCTGTGTACAAAGGTATTTATGTTAAAAATAATATGAACCAACTATAATAAATATCTACTAAAGTTACATGAGTGAACTTGATGGTGGACTCAGGAAGACGAGGCAGTTGGGAGGAAAGGAAGGCTTTGAGTAACTTGGTGAATAAGTTATTGAATTTGTCTTACTCGGAGCCGTCCCCGGGCTGGCAGATCCACTGTGAACTGGTGTATTATTTGCAGTACTGCTGCTCACAATCCCACTGCTGCTGTACATGGTTCCTGGGGTGTGGTGGTCCGGCATAGTTCCCCCTGCTGGACCATTACTGAAAAAGAGAAAAGGAGATGGATAAATAGAGGAGAATTAGAAAAAGTGAAGAATATAATAGAATTGTCATTCTTAATATCTATTTGAGTAAAATGGATCTACTTAATGTCCTTATCCATAAATAAGATAATTAGTGTAAATAATTTTTTTAAAAATTGCCGAGGAAACAGCTGATAGTCTTATGTTCTATATTACTTTGGATAACATAATGATAGCAGTCGGTATCATCCACCATGACACACGAAATTAAAATATTACGAGTCTTAAAATGGCATATACTCATCTTAATCACAATTAGTAATCTAAAATATAATACTAAATAACGTTATTTATGTATATTAGCGTTATGTTTTTTGTGTAGAAAGACTGTAGACTATCCAAAGTAAAAGTGATCTGGAAGAATGATGGCGGCGTTTGTTGTGACTGGCGAGAGGGAGACACCCGCACCATGAGCGGCTTATCCATCACACCCGCTCATTTATAAGAGAAATGGCAACGTATGACGATAGGCAATGGATTTTGTCTCATATACAGAATTCCTACGTTACCAGCGATGACACAGGTGGGTGAGACGGTTAGTTAGATGAGTAAACTATGTGGGTTATCGTCCTGGGGAGATTTAAGCTGAGGGTCGCCACTCTTCCTCGTGTCTTAGTACTGTAGTTAGATATGTATTAATGGATGGACACAGGAATAAATACAAAAACTTAAGCTTCTTGACCCAGCAACGAAACAAATTATTGTGTAGGAGAGAAAATGTGGATAAAGTATATAAAAAAAAAGATGCCTCGAGAAAACCCTTACCTCATTACTGACTCGAGGAACTGGTGTTTTCTTTACATTAACACAATCAAAATTACACACTGGGTATAGGTACGGCAGCCTTATTGATGGACTGTGTCGATAATGGTTAGGTCAGTCAGTCAGTCAGTCAGTCATATTTGTTTCTGTCATTTCAGTCGGTCCACCACACACGCGTATTAGGCTGCCGTACCAATAGACATCAATATTTCGCATATGGCTGCTGTACCTATATCCTGTGCCTAAATAAATGTAAATCAACAAATATAACATATAAGTATAGTATGTACAGTATTATTTATTTGATGGTGGATCAGGTAGCTGTGCTGTAGCCATGTAAGAGTTCCCTTGGTTGCTGTGATAAGTATTACCCAGTGGTCATTTCTCCCGTCACAGATCCTTATCTTAATTCCTCACCTTTTGTTCTGATTGGTCAAAGATGATGAAGTTTGCTTTGCTGGATTCATTCACTTGGAAACATGGCAGTCATGGATGCAGATGTTTTGTACATATGCGATGATTTTAAATCCTTTGAAGAAGTGAAATATGTATGTACTGTAATTATTTTCCAAACACTGCCATACAATTTAGACACGTAACCCAACACCAATACATGGTTTAAGCTGGTGTTTGTAGAATGTTAGCTGTGAAATATTCTGCAGAAAAGTTTTAAGTCTTGGTTTATAATTTATTGTAAGAGAGATTCCTGACCATTGATTGTGGCTGAGAGGAGTAGGAATTGACAACCCAAACCAATATCTGCGGTACTACAAACTTTTAGCACGCTTGCATCATGGCAGGCAAGGTTAGGTAAGGTCAGGTTAGGTAATTTCATCAGCATCATTAACCCTAAGCAATCAAAACGAATACTGGACAAATAGTAATATGCTGCCCTTAGCGAGACTACTGCAGAGGTTAGGTTAGGTTAGGTTATCTAGGAATGAAGGTACAGGTACAGTAGTCTGTTTGCCTGGATATTGAAAAATATTCTGGCTTATACTTTTAAGTGAGGAGTGAGCTCAGACTGGAGGAGCTGTCAGACTGCTACAGAGTTTTTAACCAGTTTGATTAAAGTGTAGACTGAATCCGATGAGGGTCATGTGGGATCAAGGAAAATTGGATGTAAATATCTGAAGAGGGTCAAAATTATCCCTATGAAGTACAGGTACTGTGAGGTTATCAGCAAACTGTGGTCTTTTTTTTATTTTTCCAATTAACTTTATAAAGAAATGTTTGAGCTGTAGAAAAGCTTAGGTTAATGAATAAACACTTTGAAACTTTGCCTGAATCTTCTATTGCTACTGTCTATAGCCAAAAAACTCGGCACAAAATATATTGATAACGGAGTACAGGGGGTCCCCAGTTTATGAACGGGTTCTGTTCCTGAGGACGTTCTTAAGTCGGATTTGTACGTGAGTCGGAACACATGCTATGTGCATACCGTTCTTACAGAACTGTTTAAAATCCCACTAATATATCATAGCTTAAGTCCTTATATACGTCTAAAATCACTTGATTTAAGAGAAAAAAAAATAGAATGACAAAATACATACAGTAAATGAAAGTAAAAAATAAGTCATCAGGTAAGTAAATTACTGTAAATTTCAAGTTTAACCTCGTTTGTATCGGTGGACGTTCGTAGGTCGGGGACACCCTGTATAGTATTAAAAGGTTGTACCAAAACTAGCCAGAAAGAGCTTTTGGCTGATATTTAGTAAAGTCTTGCACAACCTTTAGAAATGATACAGGTACTGTACTGTACATTATACATTTTTTTTAACAGGATGATACAGTTCATTGTCTTATCATTGTATATTATGCAAAATAAAGAAATAATCTCATATCAAGAAATAATGACGACAGTGTACAGAACCCAATCTCAATATTCCCTCAGGGTTGTGTGAAGTGGTGGTGCAGGTGGAGCCAGCAGCAGAATCCGTGGCCGAGTTCCCCTGCCTGGCTGACACAGAGTCCCCGCCACAACACCATGAGGACCCACCACCTCACTCTCTTGACATTGCCTCAGGTTGGGACTTACTGTATCATATATAAACTGATTCCTTGGGTCACTGCTGTCCCTTATTTTACCATGTGTCAGGCTGGACTTTTACTTTAATTAATTCTGAAGTTTGTTCCTATCTAATTATAATGATTTACCCTTTTCAATTTTGCTGTTCTTTGCATTGCTTCACATGTAATTTATTATACAGTAAACCTCTAGCTTTTCCCTTCATAACCTTACGAGTCAAAACATACAGTAATATTAGTACTATGAATACATTTTGGAAAGTTGCAGATAGAGTGTATCATTACTGTATATACTGTTTTGGTACTATAAATTGTATAGAGCTGAGTAAGCTATAATATTGCATAATCTCTTCAGATATGGACTTCGTGGGTCATCGACAGAGGTCTTACACTGCTCAGAGGCTGGAGATCATGCGTAAAGAGAAGAAGAATGCGTCTAAAGTCAAGAGAGTTGTTTGGAAACATAATCCAGCTCCACTCGATGGTACAGTGCATACAATACAATCAGTGTGCCAAATCATTTTGCTTTATTGTGTATGGGTTAGATCAGGTTCAGTTCAGTGTGAATTTTTTATGAATTTTTTGTAGTTCTCAGCTAAATAACTTGACCTAAGCAACACCAAACAACATTTTCAGGGGTATTTTGCAGGTTGCCTGACTAGACACATTGACCATAACACATACATGGTTACCATATGTGTTCAAGGTTCACGTATCTCCATGATGGCTTTAACAATGTTGATGTGTAGTATTGTCCATAAAACTACCGGATTTAGATCCTTGTAGAGAGAACTGTAACTTGTAAACAGAATTCCTCAACCGCTTTTTCTTTATTTTGGGGGAATTTATAAGTCAACTTCTCTGTGGGTCCATTTACTTAAAATAGTTAACTAGATGAAGAGATTGTAGAGTGAACATGGTAAGGAATAATAGGACTGGAGGATTTTAGTATTATTAGTGTTATCAGTTAAATAAAGGAGTGATTTATATATTCAAGGTGTGTGTGTGTGTGTGTGGCAAGGATGTACGGTGTGTTGGTAATTGTCTCTCTCACTTGCAGAAGCTGAACTGAATGAACTGTTTTCCCGTAAAGCTGTGATAACTTCTGGCGCCCCTCATGACTCGCCCACCCCCCGGCAGCCACCTGTTTCTCTACTGTCTCGTCTGGTGCGGCAATATCCCGATGGTCTTAATAATCCATTTCTTGAATATGCGAAGTTTGATGGGACGGTGAGTTTGCTTTGTGTCTTTAACTTCCTTTTATTTTTGTAGTTTGGTTTGTATCTTCATCTGTTTTTGTTTCATATCTGGTGAAGAAGTATTTGCCGTGCCATGTTGTACTGTAGCTGTGTGGTTTTTGACTTGCCATGAAGTAGGTCACAGGTTGTAGGTGTAGTTAATTAACCCCTTGTGTATGGGCTCCCCTATGAGCTGAATAAAGTTATCTGGTGTTAGCCAAATAAAATATTAAAAGTGACATCTCTGTAGTGAAGGGGTTAAGGGATTAATGCTGTCAGTCTATCCAAGAGTTGGATAAGTTATGTCATTGTCAGAAGAGTATAAAAAAGAAGAACAAGATCTGGGAGGAGATGTGCTTGTGACTTGGTGCTGTGAGATGTGTTTGTGTATGTGAGGGTAAATTTACTATGGGTGTATTATATGCCATTTGCAATACTATTATTTCATTCATTTATTTATTTATATATTTATCTGTTTATTAATTTACTTATTTTTGTTTCAGACTCACACAAACATACAAGCACGTCGTATCAGCATATACTTGTTATTCGGGGACAATCCTGAACCAAGTTATCCCATGGTTGTGTCTGTGGTTAACTGCCATCAAGCACGGGTAATTGATCTCATTGGCCTCATTTGTTGGCTGTATACCAAAGAAAACAGACAACCGCCTTTAAGGTATGAAGCGCTTTATTAGAGAACAACTTTGTCCTTGATGTTTGTTTTCATTGTATCAGATGATACCCTAGTGAGAATCCTACCATAATAAAGTTAAATAGCTTGGATAGTACAGTACTTTTATTAACTTTTTTATTGCTTATGGTGTTTCCTAGAAGACAATACAGTACTGTATAGGTTTAATATTTCCCAAGTTTTTGCTAAAAGTTATGACTTGTTTGTACACTTTATGTACTATGTTGCATCCACTGGAGACAAGGCTACTGACTGTTCATTGGTGCTCTTGGTTGTGGCATACAGAGATGTAGGCTGATTGGTCTTCTTGTACAATTCCTTACTTGTCCTCAATTGGGGCTTCCTTACGTGCTTTCACTTATTCACTGCTGCCACTATTAATGGGACTTAAAACATGTCCCTCCCCTATTGCTCATGATGAAATAAATGTGTTATGAAATATTTACTGTACAGTATTTGTGATGCAACCAGTCACAGTACAGACACTTACTGTGTGTCATGATGTCATTATGTGTTGAGGTGAGAGAATGTTAGATGCTACTCACTGAGGCAACCAATGTTAATTTTAGAGGCAGCTCTTTTATAGAAAACAATATTTATCATAAACTTTACTAGAGTAATACTATACTACATAAAAATTAAAGTATATAGGGAAGATTTTTACTATTTTGATATGTAATTTTAAAAGTAAAGTGCTGTGTTAGGGTAAGTCTTTCCCATATAATCACTTAGCTTGATGTGTCACTCAGTTTGGGAGTAGTCTCTTAATAATCTGCATATAATGTTACAGGGGTGGTGTTGAGCGTTACGCCCTTCACATTGCGGAAGAGGACGGCCAAGTTGACTGGGACTTCCAAGCTCTACGCAACCGGGATGTCATCGAAAAGTTTGGGTTTAACGTACTAGCTCTAGTCGAGAAGGATGTCCGTGAACCATCACAGGACATTGTAGTCACATTGTACGTTAGAATTATCTCGTATGATTTGTGTTCCTGTGTACAGTATATTTAGGCCAATAAGATGTTGTTCACACTGCAGTATATTTCCTTTAACCACTTGTGTCTGGAGTCACCTCTCATCTCAATAAAATTGTCGGGCACTAGTTAGATAAAATATTAAAAGTGACATCCCTGTAGTAAATGGGTTAAGACTTTTTTTTCATTACAGGGTGAAAGTTTACTTTGAAATTACTTTGTCAGTCAGGTAGTTGGCTAGGGAAAGGTGTCTGCCTAACAAAGTTTACCAGCCCAGAAAATGGAAGTGAAAAAGGAAAAATAAAAACCTTAATACTGGATACAGTATTATAAGTTGATGTCAGTTCAGAGTGACACAAATGTATGCTCCCAGTCCTGTTGGAGTTTTCCCAGTAAACCCCAAGGCCTTTGTGACGGGTGGTAACACTCGCTCCTCATGCCCACAATGAGATCTAAGCAATCGCTGTGTGCTGCAAGATTTGGTACATTGGCTGGTGCTTTTTGTGAGATGTGGCAATTCTTTGAAATACTTATCTAGTATACTTAGTCTGGCTACCATTGCAGCATTCCTGGGGCCATTATGTGAATATTAATACAATGTAAACAAACACAGAGTTGTCATATCTCACAAAATACACCAGCCACTGTATCAGGCACAAGTGCAGGCAACTGTACCAACAGATCATACCTCATTTGACAGTTTCATAAACCAGGTCTCCTGTAACACCTACCTCGCTCTAGTCACCACATGTCTGTCCACCTCTTTGTCTTAATAGACAGGGTAAGTGCACGCCTCATTAGCACTGAGGTTAGACTGGGTCACATGTTACTGTAGTGGTCTAAATGCAGCATCACACTAGCACTTTTTCCATCATTTTTCTTGCATCACTTTTCTTAAGATTGTAATTTTCTCAGCGCCTCTTCACACACGAATAGAGAAGTAGTGCGCCAGTCTTTCCACGATCATCAATTGTAGACAAACTGCTCAATGTAAACAAACATATCAGATGTATTTACAAATATCAACACTAATTTTTAAAATTTACACTTAGCAATTTATTAAAAATGCGATAATGAATACTTTTAAAATTAAATTTAATTATTTTATAAGGCTCGATATTTATTTTATATGCATCGATATTTATTTTATATAAATATTCTCATCATCGAGTAAACAGTAGATCTTAACTTGACCATGGAAATTGGTACAAGCCAATCAGGCGGAAATTATATGTTTTGTCTGAGCGAGACGCTCGAGAAAATTTGACAACTGGAAAAAACGACAGAAATTGGGAAAGTTGACTGAAAAAGTGCCAGTGCGATGCTGCCTTGAGGGAGCCATATTGCCAAGTGTCATGGGTAACAGAACTGATGCAGCTGTAACTCTAACATGGAGCCAGTTTAACCAATGTTATACACCATGCCTTCATTTTTACTTCTTGCTTCCTTTTCAGAACTGTATCCGGGGGAGCATTTAGCAAAATAATTGTAGAGAATTATGATATTACACTGAAGGAGATTCTTAACAGGACCATAACCAAGAGGAAGGACATGGTTAAGATAATAGGTGAGTTAGTGTACTGGCTGAGTGAGTCTTATTGTTTGGTTTATCCTCAACATATGTATAAATACAGCATTAAGTCTAATTAATTTAACCTCCACATACTGTATTTATAATTAGTGTTATGTTAGTTCACCTGATAATTAGAAACCCGAGCATATTTCACCTGGTGATTAGAAACCTCTAGCTTATTTCACCATAATTCTACCTGGGTGGGGGGGAGGGTAGGTTAGTGCTAGGATGTTTTTTCATCAAGTGAAATAAGCTGGGGTGTCTAATCTTCAGGTGATATAAACTAGGGTGTCTTCTAATGTACAGGTGATAAGAGAATTCTGTTTCATACCTGTGCACCTTTGACTTGTATTTTTTCAGATGCTGGCTTAGATTATCACCTAGAGAAAGAAGATGAGCCAGGCATAGAGTTGGATCTGGAGAAGACCCTGTCAGACATAAATTGCACCGAGTTTGCTGTAGTCCGAGACAATAGTACGTATTAATAGATTTTGACATACAGTAGTTTGCCTTAGTATTTAATAAATTCTAACTGTTTTTTGCTCAAGTATAATGTAATGATAGTTTTGTATATTGAAACACTGGTTCGCATAGTTTGCCTCAAGGTGCTTCAGTATGGGAGAGTCATACATTTCAATATTCACAAAAAGAGCCCAAGTACTGTATTCTCTGTAGGCTTAAAGATCATTCCTTAAGTGACAGTAGGGATTGCCAACATCATTATTCCCCAGCAGTCTTCCTTGTTAGAGGGGGCTGTATGGGCATTGTGAGGCAGCTTCACTGTCATCATTCACGGCTATTTTTTACACAGCCGGGAGACAGTAACTCTTACAAGCCTAAAACAAGATTTTTTCTTTGCAAAATTGGAAAAATTCAAAGAAAAAAAACATTTAATACCTAAGTCAAGATTGGGTTTGACTAGAGTAAGACTGTCCTCTACATGCAAGGAACTGCTGGTTAAGTTAAACATGATGACAATTGTGTGTTTCACTATCACCAGTTAAGGCAACTCCTTTCTTGGCTATGATGGCAATTTGGGTAAAAGGGGAATGGAAATATATACCCAGTTATATCATAAAAGGAGGTTAAATATACTCCAAGGTAAAAATATAATTAATATACCCAGTTATATACAGGTAAAAATATTATTAATATATCCAGTTATATAATCAAAGAGGGATTAATATAAGTGTTCCTTGATATATTTCAGGTAAAAGAATTGAAAATCCACCGGACTTCAACAACATGTCAGCTGTGGAGGCGACGCTTTACCGTTCTTACAAAGTTATGTGGTTACTGAAGTTCGGGAAGTGTGAAGCTTGTCTTGGTACGTTCTTGTTTGTGTTATGTTGTGTTCTCAGGTAACTAGCTAACTGATGCCTTGTTTGACTCACCTGGACAAGTATGATCTGTATTCATGGCCTGTGTGTATGGGAGAGTGGTGTGTATATACTTATCCCCTCCGTATTCGAGAGTGGTTACGTTCTTGGAAATTGTTGAAAATTGTGAATTCGTAAATACTGAATTTAATACCATATGGAAAAAGTGGCTACCACAATTATAATTTTTTTCATAATAGTTTGGGTTAAAACTGGTCAATGTTTCAGAGATGGTGTTAATGTTTATTTGGAGTGAGTTTTTGTAATACCAATGATCATTTTTTTTAAGAAGAATATTAGTTTTCTCTGCGTATAATTCAAGTCTGAGTATGTAAATAAACACGTAACTTATATCACTTCGGATACAGTACAGTACAGGTTGTACCTCTCTAGTCCGGCATTCTGTGGTCCGGAAACTCCCGTGGTCCGGAACGATTTTAGTTTGTCCAATAGGTAGATAGGCAGCTTTTTTTTTTTCTTTTTTTTTTCCTACTTATCTGAATTATTATTATTATTATTACAGGATTATTAAATTTTTGCCCCGCAGGCCCCAATGGTCGGTCAAAAAAATTCTCACAGCCTTGTGGACAGCTGAATTTCAATTCAATCGTGAGTCTTGAATAAAGGGTCATTAATAAGTAAGTTCACAGATATGGAGTTCGCAAACACAGGGGAATAAATGTGTGTATGGGTCGGTGGTATGTGGATTTGACTCCATTGGAAATTCCTAAGTACTTTTTTTTTTTAATGTGATCTAAAGGATAATTTAATAGTGTTTAAATAGCCTGTGGAATTTTATATATATTTTTTTTTTCCAAATAAGTATCTTTACTATTTTGTGTGAAACATAACACAACAGACGGAGGGTTTTGACAATCCTACTGAGACAACAGTAGGCGTGGTGTTCATTTTGAAATTCGTCAAAACCTCCGTAAAGATGCCTTTTGGAGCAAATATACACGGGCAAATTTTATATAAATCAGAGTTGTTGATCCAGAAGACTCCTACATTTTGGGGAACTGGTCTCAAATAAGCCAGAAATTTTGTAAAGTTGGTTTTTCACTCTACAGTACAGTACTCCCTCTTTATCGACGGATTTTTTATAGACGGTTTCGATTATCGACGGATTATTTAGCCGGATTTTTATTTTGAAATGTGCTTGATATAATCCATTCACGGAAATGTAATATTTTTGCTAAAATGACGTATGTATTACAGTGGAAAGTGGGATCAAATCGTGACGAAAACAATGACTTGCGCTTTCTTTCGTTCAAAAGATGTTACCGTAATCACTTTTCGAATGGTTTAGTTAAAAAACTGTTGTATTGTATTACAATAATATCCTAATTGACTTGAATAAATATTACGATACCATATTTCTGAATATTTTCATTAAAATCCATCAAAATCATTTTCCTTGTCATCGTCTGCAGCACCAAACAGCTTCTCCCAGTCCTCTCCTTGAACAGGGCTAGAGGGTACGTGTTTTTCGAATCGTTTTCAGTTAAAAAATTATTACATCACACGTATATTTTACCTAAACTGCGCCTGAATGAATATATTCTCGGAAATAAATAGTAGTTTTGCTGAAACGTGATGTATTTCAATGTAAAATAGGATAAAATACATGACGAAAACAAAAGACTTTACCTAAGCTTCCAATGTTCTTGAGATGTTACTCGTTTTTTTAATAGTTTTCGGTTAAAATTCTGTTATATTACAATGATATTCTATTCATACTGTGCTTGATATAATACATTCACGGAAATGTAATATTTTTGTTGAAATGACGTATGTATTACAGTGGAAAGTGGGATCAAATCGTGACGAAAACAATGACTTGCGCTTTCTTTCGTTCAAAAGATGTTACCGTAATCACTTTTCGAATGGTTTAGTTAAAAAACTGTTGTATTACAATAATATTCCCTCCTAATTGACTTGAATAAATACTTGAATGGAAATATACAATATTTTTGTTGAAACTACCCGCGTTTCAGTGTAAAGTGTTGTAATAATAAATGGTAAACAATTTGCCTTGGGCATCCGGATTTTTGGACTTTTACTGTACTGTACACTGTTTTGTTTACTGTAAGGACCGATGTTCACTTCAATAAATGAAATCGTAAGTTTGCTAGTATTTTTGTCCACTTATTATATTATTATTTATACACTATTATTTAAGGTTATGTGTAAAGGAAACGCATTAATGCTTAAAGGTACATTTATTCAACATATGCTAATAATAGTTAGAAAAATTACGTAACCATCACGGTATCGACGGTTTCTTTATCGACTGCCGTTTACAGAACGTAACCCCCGTCGATAAAGAGGGAGTACTGTACAGTACATTAGTTAGGAGCTGATGCTCCCAAGTTCTTTGTACAGTATTTTTGTACATTATCTCAAAGACTGCTTCAGATTTAATGTAATAATGGAATTTCACAGTTGATCACACATCTAGTATAAAATGCTGTGAAAATTTCAGGAATTTCTGGAGAAAAATTGGAAATCCATCCACTACAGCAGAAGGTTGGGGGAGCACTTCTACACCTTCGTTCCCCCCACCCAGTGACATACAACATGGTGCAGGTGGTGGACTGTTGTCCTAAGGCAGAGAAAAGAGGTGAGAGGCCTCTGTGGTGTGTCTGTTAGTAGTGAGTCCTGTTATTTTGTGTGTGTTGTCTGTGTAGCATCTTGCTGCTCTGTGTGTGTAGTGATATAGTGTGTGTTTGATTGTACTGCTGTGTGTTTGTAATGTCCTGTTGCTGTGTGTGTGTAATGTCCTGTTGTGTGTGTGTGTGTGTGTGTAATGTCCTGTTGTGTGTGTGTATAATGTTTTTTAATGTAAGCTCTTGATGGATGTGCATGTAAGGGAATTGACACTTATGTAACACTTAAAAGTCAGAAACATCCTCCAGTCTACCATTTACACGGCTGTGCCTCGTGTCTTTGTAGCCACCTTCCACACTTACCGTACACTATTGAACTACGTACTACCAAACGTCCTCCTTTCAGACAACACATGGCCATCTTCCAACAATGGTCCTTCACTCATACCACTAATCAGTAGGTTTTTTTTGTTTTTTTTGCCATGTTCATTCTCATATCAATTTACGGTACTCCATTTCTTCCTTCCGTTTCTTCTGTTTTCCCCCCATGTCTTTAATTCAATATGTCATCAATCAAAGATGTGTATGGTGAAGACTGTTAGTTTCTGATAATCACGATTCTGTTTTGGTTTTTCCCCCCAACAGGCAAAATGGAATTCCAGTTAACCTGCCAGGGGGAGAATCGATTTAAAGACTATGTGTTTGAGTGCGAGACAAAAATGGCGCAGGAAATTCTGGACAAGTGTAAGCATATCTTTGATCTCCGCGCCAGTTCTGTACGCAAGGAATTCTGGAAGGAGAAGAAGCCGTTTAGAAGACACAACAGCCTGTCAATGAGGAGGAGACCGCGGACTGAGAACCACGTGAATGAAGTGTAACTCAGCGTACTCTGCGTAAAGACAACGACGACTCTTTTTATTATCATTATTTAAGGTGTGATACTTAATTTTTTATGCAGAGTATGACGATGTATGATGTTGGAATGAGTATGTTGAAGGGAAAGTGATGGGTTGTCTGTGTGTTGCAGTGTTATGTGAGGATGACCTTGTGGTTATTTTCACACAGATGCCTTCATATGTGGAGAAGAATATTTGGACTTAAGGTCTGTGTGCTCCCATAATCTAAATTTTACTGTCAATGATGATGGAAAAATCAGTGAATCAAGAAATTTTTCTAAAAGTCAACAACTGATCATGAAATTTACTACTATAGAAGCAGTTTTACAAAAATCCAGAAAATTAGATTAGTTTTAAAGACTTGATAGACACTTTTAATCTTCTTACGTAGAATAGAAATTGAATTTTAAAATGGTGGACACAGTGTTTGAGCAAGTTGCAACGTAAAGTTTTCATCGTGTTGTTATTTACTAGTCGGTTTTGTACTTTTTACATCCACAGTACTGTAATTGGTCCTGGTGAACACTCTACTGTTAGAACAATCACGGTTATATATATATATATATATATATATATATATATATATATATATATATATATATATATATATATATATATATATATATATATATATATATATATATATATATATATATATATATATATATACACACACTGGCCATTGGCTCACCGTGAAGCTTTAAAATATCCCCGTGAACACAGCCTAAGAACTGTCTTACTTACGCTGTGAGAGAAACACTTTGTACTATTCCTGTGATTATTTTTGTGGTAATCTGATTTCTTTAATACATACAACAGTGCTGAAATTACTTAACTAATGAGCTCCCAAAAAAATTTCTGGAGGTAAGGAATAAACTTTAAAATCCAAGGAAATAAAATGTAAAATAATAATAAAGGAAGCTGAAATTTGAATTTAAATTGACTTAAAAAATGTTTTAACATTCAGTAAATGACTTGTTTGTACTGTACCATGAACTAAATAACTTGTAATAATTATTTGCTACATCATTCAGTGATAGTGGGCGATATTTCTCCCCTAGAAGCAGACCTCTGGGGTGTTTCGTAAGGTTGTTAAACAAATGAGATGAAAGTGTCATAAAAATTGTACCGTGCAGCGCCTATTACTCCTTATCCTGTAAAAACTTCAGTGAGATGTAATGTATTGTTTTATACCATATTAAAAACCTAGGAAACTTGTGTGTCATGTTGAATAAAAAAAAATAATGATAATTTCTTTGAGAATTAATCAATGTAATGATCTCTTATGACTAATTATTGAAGAAGTTTGGGTATTCGGGTAATGAGATATTTATCACCCAAAATTCCAGAGAGGTTAGTTAGTTACCTGTAATAGGTGGTAATGTGTCGGCCTGTTGCAGTTGACTATAGTTAACAGTAATTTGGAGGAACGACAGTGAATAAGTCTCTCTCTCTCTCTTAGGGAGCTGTTGCCTTTATTGTCAGCAAGAGGACTTCTTTTTTTATTACTTGAAAGGAAAGTTATCTGCAGCTAGCCAATGTGAGAAGTTCGTTGTTGTGTGGCAGTTAAAAAGAGGACGATATGGGAATGGTCATTTGGATGTGTAATGTGACATGGTGTGAGATGGGAAACCCTTTTAGAGTGAAGAAGGCAGTAGAGTGTATTGGGCCATTAATGAGGTTTTGTGTAGAGGGAGGGTGAGAAAATAGAGGAAGGTCAAGAGATGTTGAAGCTTGAATGTGGAGGGAAGGAGAGGTTGAGAATGACCACCTGGAGAGGTAAAAATATAATTATGATTTACCATTATACTGAAGTATGTTACATATCATCAGTAGTCACATGCCTCAAGAACTGACTCATGGCATTGTCACTCATTCTTGACTGCCTGAATAAGGTCCTTATTCCTTTATGAATACTCCATAGGACCAAGTTCATGAACTAGTAATATGACTTAAAGAAATATATAACAGTAGTACAGAATAGATAATATGCATAAGACAAGACAAAACAAAAACTAAATAAACCCATATAGTGGAATCTGTTACTGGGGGAAGATCCCTTCATATATAGCTATACTATACAGTACCCATTTTTCAGGGTGCAGTCCTTAGGCCACCCAGCTGTAAATGGTTACTGAACTTTATAGTTTGGGAAGTCTCCAATTGCCTAGACAGACAAGAGATGATATCCTAGAAGTTTATTTACTTTTACTTACTTTTATCCTCTTCACCTCTGATAGGCTTGTTAGCCGCTGAACTTGCTTCAGTGCTTGTCAAGTCTGGTCTTGAAAGAGCTCACACTCGGTGCCGTCACAACACACACTGGCAGATTATTCCAAGAGTTCACAACTCTCACTCCGAAAAAGATACCCCTCATAGTTTTCTGGGCTTGCGGCTTCTTCAATCTTGAGCTGTGACCCCTTGTGGGGCGAGAGTCTGCCAGCTCCAGGTAAGGACACTTGACTGAGTAGTGCCCCTTGAGATGCTTATACACCTCAATTAGGTCCCCCCTTGCCCGTCTGTAGTATAAGCTAGGCAAGTTCAGGCGCTCCAATCTCGCAGGGTAATTGAGGTGCTGTAGTGCAGGCAGCAGTCTGATGGCCCTCCTTTGGACATTTTCAATCGACTGACAATCCCTAGTACAGTATATCTCGGGTGACAGTACTCCAGATGGGGAAGCACTTCCCTCTTGGAGTTCACAGAGATCCTTCTGCAGCTCTTCGCAGTCTGCTTGGTTCTTAATTTCCCGAAATAACTTGGCATCATCCACAAACATATGTATGGAGGTATGTACAGTGTCAGACATATCATTTATGAGGCAAACAAACAACAGCGGGCCCAATACACTGCCCTATGGTACCCCGCTTGTGACAGGTACAGATGATGATTTCGTACTGTTTGCGGTCATGTAGAAAGTCATCTATCCACGCTAGGACATTTCCCCGAATCCTGTACCCTTTCAGTTTAATTTTCAGCCCCTTTTGGGGGTACACTGGTCAAAAGCCTTGGCAAAATCTAGGTATATATTGTCAATATTACCACCCTGTTCTAGAATATGGGTCCAAATATCCAGTACCTTGAGTACTGTAATTGCATTGAGCAGGAGCGCCCCGGCATTAAACCGTGTTGGCAATCCTTTACAAAGTTGTTTCATAGTAGATGTTCCCTCATGGCATCTCTGATAATGCTCTTAAGTACTTTACATATTATGCTAGTCAGGCTCACCGGTTTATAGTTGTTCGTGAAGTGACGATCGCCCTTCTTGAAGATAGGACTCGCATAAGCCATTTTCCAATCACTGGGGACCTCTTGTTCATCCAGGCATTTACAGAACAGGATCTTCAGGGGCTCGGCAAGCTTGTTGCACAACACTCTTAGCACTGGGATGCACCATGTCAGGGCTGGGACTCTTATAACCTCTTCTGTGAACACAATGTGGGTCAGTGCTGTGTCGAACCATATGTCCTCAAACGCAGGTAGGTTAATCGCATCCTCTCTTGTGAACACCGAGGAAAAGAAGCTGTTCAATGCCTTTGCTTAATCCTGGTCAGAATCTGCGTAATTACCATCTTCAATCCTCAGGTTTGATACTCCTACTCGTGTTTTTAATTTAGACTTTGCATAGTGGTAAAACGCCTTTGGGTTTGACCTGACCTCGCTTGCAACCAGCTTCTGAAACTCCTTTTCAGTCCTGGTACACTCTGACTTTGCTTGGCTCCTGGCTCTTCCATTCATCCTTCTGTCCTGCTCATTGTTTGACCTAATCCACGCCTTGAATTTCTGGGATTTCTTCTGAACTTTGTTGACCACCGTATGGTTCATGTGTAATCTAGTCATGTATATATATATATATATATATATATATATATATATATATATATATATATATATATATATATATATATATATATATATATATATATATACTCTCAGGGATTCTATAAACTAATACGTTGTTCCCAAGCTGGAAACGTTCCCGTTGTTCCTCCCTTCGACACACTTCTTCAGAGTGCCTAGCTGCTGTAGAACCTGTTCTGATCTTATATTACTCTCCGTCACTTCCCGTGGGCCTGCTAAAACCTGAGCATAACTCCTCTTCACTAACCCCCTCCCCCATTCTATCAGCTACTTCCTCAGTCTTAGCACGGACCTTTCCCAACTTGTTCTAGTTTGGCAACCAGCAAAGATCCAGCTTCATCTATTCTCGTCCCTAGGAAACTCGTTTACCTATGGCTTGCAATTGTCTCTTTCACCTTGACTATGCAGTTAGGGCAATACCAGCAACAGCCCTCATGCCTTACCCCATTCAGTATCTTCCTAAACACCTTAAACGTTGTATTGGTCAGGTCCGTAAAGCACCTTAAATGACATTAATCAGTCAAATCATCATATACAGTGATAGTGGATGTCCGCCCCACTAGAGGTCAGTCACAAGTTAAAGAGGTCTAGTCCAGAAAATTGCCGGAGCAACTTTCTTTGGAGTAAGTTGTGAACTCTCTGAATAAACTGCCAAAAAGTGTTGTGATGGCACTGATTGAGAACGCTTTAAGGACAGACTCAACCAACACTGGTGGGTGCATGTTCTGGTATATTTTACAGCCAGTACTTGCCAACACTCTGTGTAAAAGACATAACTGACCACCCAAGTGGCAAACAGGCTGATCAGTAGTGAAGATGAGAAGGTCAGTAGGTTAAGTACACTGTATTTGACATAACTGAGGCCTCAACCATCTTATACTAAGTAGTGCATAATTGCATGGCTGGGAAGAGGGGTGAGGGGGGACAAGTAGAATCCAGAAAATAAAAAAATGGAACCCAAAACATGAACAAGTTGAACCCAGAACATGAGCAAGTTGAACCCAGAACATGAACAAGCTTAGTTGTAAATTAGCTGATAAAACATCCCGTCAACATCACATACCACCATTAATTAAAAAGCTTTGATTATACTATCATCCTGTGTTAGTGGTGGCTGCCTCGTTATACACTTTTGTAGATATGAATATTTTGATAGCTGGATATATCCCCTGCGTTATGGAAGCCCGGGTTACGGAATTTGTAAATTATGACCAATAATTTCGCGTTACGGCCCGTAAATCCGGCCTAACGAAAATTGGGGTAAATTTTAACAAACACAAAGCCTCATACATGCCATTCAGACTGACAGACTTGACAAGTTTTACCAACCTTAAAGACAGATTGAAGCTTTAAGCATCACTCACAATGGACCTTGAATATTCCAACTGTAATCAGACATACCTAAGTTGCCTCAACAATTGCAACCCCAGTTGCAATATCAAATTCTGTGTCACTACTAAAAAATAATAGTCCCTGGTGCACTCTTAAGCTTAAGAGAAAACGGACGACTCAGGAATGCTGAAGTGAGAGAAAACGGACTTTTATGACGGGGCACTCAAATAAACATACACATAGCTGTATAATGCAATATTATGTAATATTAACCCCTAAATTGGTGTTTTAAGAAGGTATATCATAAATTATTTAATGTACTGTATTGTATGTGTTTACAAATGTTTATTTTCATTCATAAAAGTGCTTCAATTACTTTTTTGGGGCCGAAAAAATTCCTTAGGAAAGCATCTCCAGTTTTATAATGGAAGTCAATGGGAAAATAGGTTTCTCGTTACGGAGGGTGCAAGTTATTATAGGCATTTGCATACATAAATGTTCACTGGACACCTGCCTGTAGTTGATATTGGGAAGACAGGTGGCCTCCCAGTAAAATATGTAAAAAATAAATTATAAGTGAAGTGTGTAGTATCTTACATGATTTAATGGGAGAAGGAAAAGCCACATGCTGACTCTTGCTCAGGTGTTTGTTTTTGTTGGTGTTGTTGTACCACGTGCCTAACACATTCTTGATTACACAGGCCTAAACAGAGTGTATAGTATTTAGGTATGAGACAGACACAGACAGACAGGGTAGCAACGGACTGAGCTGACCTGAACACACCTGACTCACGCCCTGTCACTACATACCTAACTACCTGGTTTAGGTTCACCATTCTGTCAGGCCACATTGGTTCCAAAGAGCACTTATCAGCTGTGTCCCTGGCTACAGATTTCCTCCAAAACTCTTGTAAGGTTAACAAAAACATTTCCATGATCGAACAGAATTATCAAACAGACTAAGATGTAACAGCAAAGACCTTTGGTCGCCATCAATACTGTACCCTCATCCACCTTGGCAAGGATTGGAGGTAAGCAATTTCAAAGTTCAAGTCAAATTATCCATCATGAGAATGTTGCCAGAAGGTCCTCTCAGTGCCAAATACTCCGTCCTTTATTATGAGAAAAACGCTCGGTTCTGCAGCCTGGCCGATGAGACTGTCGATATCAGCAGAACTGAGTAGTTTCTCCTATGTCTGTGCTGTCCAAAGGTGCAATGACGATTATGAGGTCCCTGAGAACTTTATATCCTTCCTCACATCCCACAGCAACTGGTGCTACTCTTACTTCACATATTAAGACCAAACCCCAGAACCTGTGCCTTTACCTCAATAACATAGCTTGCCAAGGTTACGATGGTGATTTTAACATGAGTGGATGCAAGAATGGTGTCCAAATCCTTCTCCTGCTCATCTGCCAACACACCACTTAAGTGCACTGCAAGAACCATAACCTGAATCCGTACATCATCCACCACCGAGGTCACCTACATCCACAACATGTACGGGATCAACACACGAAGGATTGTGATCTGGTGAAGGCCTCCTTCAACACAAAGCTCCAAATTTCTTATCCGTTCAGAATACAGAGGATAAAGAACACGAGGACTGGAAATTTTGCGTCCAGAAAACCCTTATTCCTCCCTGTGGTGACCTCAGGCCTCTGCAATAGAACATCTCTTTCACAACTTTCAAAGTCCTCTTCAATGTGCCTCAACAGCCTCTACGACAGGAGCTTCAGCGCTCAAGTCGTCTAATGCAGTACAGCAACACATCAGCGTGTGACTGGCCTGACCCTCCACCATAAATATTGACAATGTGATCAGAGACTTTGATGCCACAGCTCCCGACGAATCATGTTCTTGATCGATCAAATTGGTTAATATTTGGAATTATATGTAAAAATGAATTCTGCGTTGGTTTACCTAAATAAAGATTCTGACAAACTGGATTCACAGTTCTATAACTCCTGTTTCGGAGCTTTGTTCATAAAGTCATTCGAATCTTTTGTGTTTTGTAAGTTCTTGAATATGTCATGAGTGGGCGAAGCTTAAAAACAAGGTGTTAGCTTACGTTCTTATCACTGCGTGATTGTAATGACAAAACCACACCACAGTGATAATATTTATCATAAATTACATACATTAACTACTAGCTCAGATAATTATTTACTTAATCAAAAATCCTATCTTTCCCCATTTTACTGCGCTTCAACAACCGCACTACATACGTGCATTGTTGATGTTAATGTTAATGCATTACTGCTCTTCAACACCAAAGATATGTAAGCGTGTGCTATAGTAACTAGTGAGTATTTGGAATGATCACAGTGTTAAACCTTCACTAACTGTAGAGGGCGCTGCTAGGGGGGGGGGATATTACCGTATAAGGGCATGAGGGTAACAGGAAGTGTGAGCCAGTGTAGATATAAACTATCACCGCTACAACCCTCCAGTTTAGTCATTACCATCACCAGGGGAACACGCACATCCAGTCACTCCCAGGAGAATACAGTACATCTGTTTGTGTGTGAGTGTTACTAGGTTAGGTTAGGTTAGGTTAGGTTAGGTTAGGTTAGGTTAGGTTAGTGTTAGTTAAATTTAGAATTTGGGTGGTTAATCTTCGTGCCATTTCTATATACAAGAACGTTTAAAAAGAATGCCCAGTTTACACTATATAACCACATAAGATCAGAGCAATATTCTTTCGATGACTCAGTGTATATAAATCATGTCGTAGGTACAGTGCAGGTGTTCAATTAATCCAGCTATTCTTGACACAGATTACGGTGGGGAGAAGTGACCCTTGACACCAGCTAGGAGATGAGGGTACACTGGCAAACTTGGCTCGTCGAGGCACTGATGATGGCAGCTGGCATCTTAGCAATCTTACTCATTTATTCTCTGGCCTCTGTGCTGATGCCAGTTTTGTTTGTCGAGGGCACACTACTTGCCTTATCTCAGCACACGGGGGATAGCCTTGCCTTACTCCAGGACTCGAAGAAGAATCTTGCCTCACCCCTACGCACGGAGGACAGATCTATCTTATTCCAAGACGGATGTAAGGGGTTCACAGTGGTGGGTCATCGTGACTTCTTGCTGCCAGTCATTTTCGCCGTAAAAGTGATTAACTCACCTTTCCACCTGGCGCTGGAGGTGCAGGGGGCTCATGGCCTTTTGTTAGACTGCATCAACTTTACATATCCAGGAGTTACAGTCGAAGGTCTTCACCACGACGATCTCTACGTTTCATGGGGCCTCGACAAATGCGTCACTAACACAACCTCCAAGAACCAGACGCCCACCGGCATCCAAAAAGAGGACTTTACTGTGGTTCTGAAGGGTACGGGTCGCTCCCTGACGGTAAATATAAATGGACGAGCCAACCTGACCTATCCGAGAAACTTTGATGACGATGTAAGAAATATTCGATTGGTAGCGTCACCTAATCTACGAGTTAGGCTCCCCGTCCCCAGCCTAGAGCAGGGATGTGTGGTCGGGTCATACTTCATGTGTAAGACTAAAAACAAATACGCCCACCTCACCATGCAAAATTATGACAAGGTGTACATCAGAAAGATATATGCCAACGAATATTTTTCCATAAGTGATCCCTGCACCAAAGAGGACAAAGAGGCAGTCTTACAACCCTCATACTTCGAACGGTCGGACTGGGTCCCAGCACAGGTGCAAGTTCGAAAGACAAGCATACAGTATCTCATAAACCTGATAATTGGAGGGGAAGTCCGAGGAGAATATCAATCATTTTACCGTACCTATGACTTAGACTGCGGAAAAAAAAGGATGAAAGGGATAAGAGTCAGCTTTAAAGCTGACTTTTCATTGAACTGCAACCCTGAACCCCAGCTTGAAGAGGAAGAGCACGATCCTTACAGGAGTTATTACATCACTCGTCTTCAGGTGATCTTGGTGGTTGTGTGGGTGATAGTTATATGGAGTGTCATCTTCCTGGTGATGGTGGCGAGGAAAGTCAAGGCAGCGATAAACAACACGGCCAGTGTTACCGCAAGCGGTACATAATTATGATGACATATAAACAAATGTTATGTTAGGCTGTAACTCACAATGTAGAGTGTAGAGATGGTTGAAGATGAGAGGCCCAGAAGGAGGTTGGAGGGTGTGAAGGGAGTTTGTTTATGTATAATTATAATCACCTGACTCAGCCATAGCTGACCAGCCAGGGGACCAGGCTATAGGGTGGGCATTTCAGTATAGCTACCCATACCCTGGTTTCTCTCTAGACTTTCAACACGTACGGTTAACTAGTACTTATTGTGTACACAGGTAGACTGTGTCATTGTTTTTGTGTTAAGATTAGACTAATTAAATAGCCATGATTGTTATGTAAATATATATTGGATTAAACATTTATGTAAGAGTGCCTATGTATGACTTACTTGAAATACTAAATGAATTGTATTCAACAGGTTTGACCGAATTATAATGTTCGTGTACGACGTGAGAAGTATTATTCACCCTCTAACCGTCTGATTGGAGGTTAAAGCCAGTTTTAAACGCCTGTGACAGTGACGTTGCCCGAGTGATGTTATTAAGTCTTTTTTACATTGATGTTGCTTTAGTGATGTTAAAAGACCTTTTCTCGCAATGATGTTGCCTGGGTGATGTTATAACACCTCTTTAATACAGCGGTGTTGCCTGGGTGATGTTATAACACCTCTTTAATACAGCGGTGTTGCCTGGGTGATGTTATAACACCTCTTTAATACAGCCCACCGTTTCTCTGTGGATGTCGGTCACACGAGAATAACCTATTATAGTACCTCCTTCTTTCCTCACACAGCCAAGCTGTGGAATGCTCTGCCTTCATCTGTGTTTCCATGCTCTTACAATCTGTCTCACTTTAAAAAGCTGGTTTTCCGGCATCTTCGTGGTGTAGATTAATACAGTATAACCTTTTTTTCTATTCTTACAATTTCTTTCCGTTCTTTTTTTTTCCCCAGGCTCCGTTGTGAGTCGTATGACCTGTGCCCGGGTGGGATAATTCCAGTAAAAAAAAAAAAGATCCGTGAGAGAAGGTCGAGTCGCTGCCTATAACGAGAACAACAAACTGTTCATTACTTTAATCGATATAGCTTTAAACACTAACCTAAATCAAGACCCAATAACTTGTAGAGGCTCGCACTATTCGTCTCATTTTTTACGTAACTTCAATACAGAACAATGTGATCATAACAAAATTCACTGTCATCGAAGTTTTCTTCAGTCACTTAGTCCAAATTCTAAAAAATATATAATTAGACTTTGACTCCGTCAGCCAGTGCACCAGAGGACATTGTTGCGTCCTTCTGAGATAGTGCTCCTTGATGGACAACTCTGGTATCATACTGGAGTTGTATTATCGCGACATATTGATATCCCACTAATCTTATTATTACTACTTTTTTTTCCCTGTGTGTCCGGGTGAGTATTGAAGTGGTGTGAAGGTGATTTACTGTGGTGGTGTGTCTGGGGTAACTGCGAAGGTGTGTGGGGGGTGATCATGTTAATAACAATGTTCTTTGTAAATGTGTAAGTAACTGACATTCATGCCCCAAGAATTGGAGGAAAATGTACTCACGAAATGGGAAACTTCGGCTGGTACACAATATACTTTCTCCCATTTCATTGCACAAACAATTATTTTATTAAAGGCACCAGAAAAAAAAACTCATATAGCAGCGGTTTATCCCATAAGTGATACCTTGATTTGCACAAAGTTTATTCAGTTGTCTATGGCAGTTCATCTCTTGGAGTTTTAGGGCGGGGCTTAGTGAAGTAGGTGTGGCAGTGTAGAGGGACAGACATCGATGTTATTTTTCTTTGACTTTTTTTACCTTTATCCTCTTCGCCACTGAAGGTCCTTACTCCGTATACTGTACAGTTCTTGTATTTTACATTTCAAATTAAATTTTGTCGATATTCAACACCCTAAAGTAGCTCTTCCAATATAAAGAACTCACTATTCAGGTATTGTTAAAAAAAATTATGACTAGTACATTGACTTAGTAAGAGGATTTATGAAACGGGAGGAAGTGAAAAACGTAACGGACATAACCACATTCATATATGTATGTTTGTATGATTTTCACTTAATAATTTCACATAAAATCAAAGTTCCAGTACAGGTGGACAAGTACCCCGCCGTGTAACAACTATGTTCAGGAAACAACATTGAACCATTACTAAAGGCGACGTCACACGCTTTTTCCGTCATTTTATTATACCAATTTTCTAAAAAAAAAAAATCAGAGCTCACCGTCACACACACAGAGAAGTAGGGCGCTAGTCTTACGGCGTTCGATGGTGTTGTATGCCTTTCTGTTCATTTTGTTTTTTGTTTTTACTGGATCTATCGTCCCTCGGATCCTACAGGCAACGATATGATCTAATATTGTCTATTGTCTATCATGTACTCTTCGAACAGGCGTGTCCACACAGGAATAAATAAAGGCTGTGAAGAAGTTGAACACTTGGCTCAATGTAAACAAACATACTTCAGATGTGTTTACGAATATCAATATATTTTTTATTTAAATTACACTTAACCAATTTATTAAAAATGCGATACCGAATACTTTTAAAATAATCCTTTTATAATAATCCTCATTGAGTATAAATCTTTCCTTGACAACTGAAATTGGCGCAACAGTCAGGAGGAAACGATAAGTGGTGGGAAGGAGATGGCCTAGAAAAATTGACAATTAGTGAAGAAAAAAACCGGACGGAAAGAGTACTAGTGTGACGCGGCCTTAATTCTGGGATTTTATTTATATATCCCCAAGCTAACTGTGGTTAATGGCCATCTTAATAGAAATATTAAGTTCGAGTCGTGGCATTAACAATTCCTGGACACACGGAGGAGAGCTACACAGCACAACAAAATTTCTTTATCAACATACCTGCACTCAACTGCTAATAACCACAACGTAGAGTCCGGGAAGCTCTTATGGCGCCACAAGCACGAGGTAATCCACAAACAGCGAACGTAAAACCCGGAAATAGCCATCAAATACTGTATCACAACACACCACACACGTGTTGCCGCCACCATTACAGTGCCTGAATGGTCACTGGCGGGTGCCCCTGAACCCTTGAGGGGCGTTGATGCCTTAGTTCATAAATTGGTTCGTTTTACTGATTCACATGAAAATCACTTACGTATATATTTACGGACTGGGTGGTAGAAAAAACATCATATACGATTAGCCTTCATCTATAATCTCATTTTACAAATTACTTCTACGCTGCTAGCCATCATTAGCCAAAATAAAATTAATACTAACGAAAATTAATTATGAGAATCGAAGATTCGTCAACAACCCCGCTGTTACGACACTAAACTAGCCCACAATCAAACAAGCAGTTAGATTAATATCTTCGTAGTTCATACGTAAAATATAGTTATAAACTTGTCTGTATTTCTTAAAACATTACAAGTACAGGGGAACAAAGAACCTGGAGCCGGATACTCAAAAGTATTTACAATATTATACCTCCCAGTTAACTCTTAAAGGTTGTAGTGCTCTCTGCAGCTCTCCCACTACCCTATTCATGATCGAATTACATTGGCTTGCAATTAAAGCTAAGATAAGAGTTCAAATCCTGTCTAATGTTTGGTGAGCCTGAATCTTTGGCCAGCCTACTACAGTAATTCCACTGACTACACATTCTGAAATGATTTTGCGTCGTAGTGATGATCCTTCACGCCTTGAGGAGCCTAAAGCAGTCCGGGGGATGTTCTTGTTTCTACCCGAGCCTTCCCTTATACACCATCCAGGTATAAGTTATTCCACCAGCTTCAATTTTATTATGACAATTAAGTTAATTTATTTTGGTAATTGTTCCCTCTGCGGCTACTATATTAAATGGGTGGGAACAGGTACAGTACACAGGTATTTCTACAGGTACTCGAGTATCTGTGGTTTATGCAACGCTTATGACTTACGTTTTTAATCAGACACTTTGACCCCCCCTCCACCACCCGAGACGCTGTGATTGAGCAGGAATTAATCATAGATGGGTTCATAATGCCATCTGTGTTATATTACGGCATTGATTCGAGAGATTTCCAGTGGGAATTTCAATACAGCTTCGAGATTACTGTGTTATTATGTGACCTCGTGTTGTGCTCTGGGAATTAGACACGGCCCTTCCATCCAGCATCCAGAGCGTGTGTGGTGATAATTCCAGCGTAGTCCATGTTAGTTTAGGTTTGGTTAGGATAGGATATGTCATGTTCTATATGGTTAGGTTGGATTAGAATATGTTATACTGTATATGGTTAAGTTAGGTTAAGTTAGTATTAATGTGATTTATCTCCAGGTTAAATAGGCTGGGGTTAGTCCAGGTAAAATAAGCTGGAGGTTAATCTTCAGCTTTAGTTACAAAAGCACAAGATACAGCCAGTAAATAAAACCTAATGGAAACTTCATAATTATAAGGTCATGAGAAACTGCTTTGATCTAAATAATTCAAGGTAATATTTAATGAGATCAACAGAGTAACACAAAGTACAAATCGAAAAAATGTCAAAGTCATCGAATTAGATTAAATAACAAAATACACAAGATAATCAATATACCATCATCTTCAATGTGAAATATTATCCTCAGCTTGACCAATAGAGGAACATCGAAAAGAACAACAATTTTCCGACAAAATAACAGTTTCAATCTGATATGTACTGTATGTGTATTGTATAATTAATTTGGCTACGCTATTTACTGTATTCCCAATGTGTACAGTTCTTGCTTAAAGCCATTCAGAAAGATAAATCCTTTAACTCATAGAATTCAAACCTCAGCCAAAAATAAAAGAACATCATCAACTGCAATAAATATCCCTAATATATTTTATGGACGACTTCCAGCCTCGACCAACACGGAGGTTCCTTACCTATAACTTTACTAATATTATATATATATGTGTGTGTGTGTGTGTGTGGACATTCTTCGTTTTTCTTGACCTAATTCTATAAGGATATACGTGAAATGTTTTGCTTACATCCTACCGTGAGTGTTGTGGGTCACCCTGCCGTCTACACCACCCAAGAGAGGAGTGTTGGACTGTTAATGGCTGTAGGTGGTGTTTAAACCAACTGGGGTCAGTCAACACATGAAGACCATTGAGCGTGATATTTTATTTTCTAAGTTTCTTTAAAGGGATTGTGATAAGTATTGTTGTTATATTTTTATAATCTTGTATTTTAATGTTGGTCTTATAGTATTTAATGAAGTATTTCGGTCGAATAATATTCAACGTTACATAAAGAAAGTGTTGCAACATATTCTCATTGGAAGATGGTATTTATCATATTTATTCCAGGCTAATACAGTTACAGTAAACCTCATCCGCTTAAATTTCCAGTCTGGGAGAATGTTAGTAGCATTTACATCACTAAGCCATTGTATTAATATTATACTGTTTTTCTTCAGACAGGAATATTCAAAATAGTGGAGTAATGTGACTCTTGGGTTTACACGTAAATAAAACTATCGTACTGATCATTATTGTCAACTGTATTGTGGATGTTCTGGTTAGCTGCCTATTGTCTTTTATTTCATCTTAACTGAAGCTCCAGTGTATCAGCCCAGGCGTCCACACATTTAGCGAAAGTAATCGTCCATATTCAGCTACAGAAAAGCATTCAAACATTCAGCAAATTGAGAGCATCCGACATTCAGCAAAAAAAAATAATGGGATCCAAATGTTCATCTAAATAAATGTTCACATAAATCGTCATTACATTAAATAGCAGATCTCTGGCAAGTGATATCTTTCACAATTTATCACTAGGATTAATAAGTTATCTAACAAATACAATAAGAACATGATTGGGATACTTTGTGTTTATACTTTTGGTCGTAAAGTAAACAAGGACTCAACTTAGTCTTTATAAAATAACAAAAACAATAAGATATAAATGACTGTAGCCTCTATAAGTTTTCATTTAATTTACTGTTGTTTGTTTTCGACGTTCAGAGTATAAGCAAATCCCCCAACTTGCTCTGAAACAACACCACTATCTCTCTGTGGCTTTTATAAAAACCCTTTGTTATTAATGACAATTTATCTCCGGAATAAAGGTTATTATGTACACAAAGTGACCGAAGCATTGGGGAAGGTTCAGTGGGTGTTTCGCTTGTGTACGTCTGTTAATGTCACTCACAGCGAATAATAATGTATATATATATCACATGTTTGCGTTCGAGCAGTATATTCTTCATCAGACTTGTTCCCACACAACGCATAGCTAAAGGAAAATCTTCAACTTCAATCCATACTTAGTTTCATCCATGTCCCAGCGTCGTTGAAGACTAGAGGTTCAGAGTGTTAGGGTATACTGCTTCGAACGCAACCTTGAAGTGAAGTCGATAATAGCAGAAAAGAAAAACAAAATGACTAGTTGAAATAAATAGAAACTTAGCAGATCTTGTGGGTGCGTGTGCCGCCTTCCTCAGCATCTGTAAATGAGAAAGGAAAAAAAAATCAATGTTAATATATTTCTAATAAATGATTTTACCACATTTATAAAGTCATTCTTTATAATGTTAAGTTATAGTATTTTCGAGAAGAATTTAACAACACAAACACACACTCTCTCACTCAATCGTATACAGTATTAAATTTTTGAGATGTAAACACGTTACTAACTGACTCAATTAAGCTACAGCACAAGAGTAACTAACCGAAATAAAGTTAAAAATTTCACTAAAAAATTTCATACCTTAATTAAAGTCATTCAATAATCCCCAATAAGTCATTAAAAAAATATATCTGAGAATTCGAGCCTCTACCTAAGATACGTGACGTCAATAAGTTGGAATGGGGGTAGAATATTGCCAATAAATTAAATGTGTCTGTTCTACCTCATAAACACCGAGACTCAGTGTAGTCACGTGCTGTGTGGATATCTTGTTGACCTGCTGTTGTGTATATCAGGTAAGTTCTTCACTGTAAATAAGTTTAATATAGTCTCCATCTTCCTTTCTTTTATAATGGTGGTATGTTTGTTAGGGTGTGTGGTGTAATGGACAGCATACTCGCCTTGCAAGCGAGCGGACCTGGGTTCGATCCCTGGACAGGGTCAAACTATGAGCAAGTTTCTTCACGCCATTTGCCTCTGTCTACCCAGCAGTAATTGGGAACCTGGATATTAATCGATTTGCGGATCGTGTTCCGGGGTAATGGTTAGCCAGTGCAGTTGGCGAGTTGTCCGGTCTTCTCGGACTATTCCTTGACACTGGGTCATGCAGCTCGTTAACTCAGGGTGTGGTTGTTGTAATAGCGACAGCTTCTACACCTTAAACAAATTCTGGCCTAAGTGACCCTAGGGCCAGCGAGTGTGTGTATCTTATGTGTATGAAGTGATAAGAAACGTCAAGAAGTGTCAATAAACGTCAACAAGTGGTACGAAATCCCACCTAAATAAACCTGTGGTGAGGAACGCCCCTCATGCCGAAGAGGATGGTGGGTGGAGCCTCCCTCAACCCGGCCTGCATACGAGCATCCTTCATTCTACTGGCCTTCCTATCCTCCTTGAGCTCCTCCTCCAGGTTGACTTCCTCCGCGGGGTAGGTGTTGTCCTCTAGGCTTCGGTCGTCCGTGTTGAGGGAGCTGGAGAGGTCGGAGATGAGTTCGCCGATGTCATACTCATCGAGGTCCTGCTGAGTCATGTCCCGGGGAGCATCCAAGGAGACGGCAGCGGCCCTCTTGCGGCGACCACTGTAAACAAAGAAGCGAGTTAGTTTGATCCTAGTTAATTAATTAGTTTAGCCTTAGACACTTAACAGAACATATATAAACGGATTAATTCCATGACAAAATCTACAATTTTTCCCCAGAGATAAACATTTACCCTTTTCGCCAAATGTGATACTGTGGCATAATCTCATACGCCTTTATCAACACCGGATAGACTTCCATCATTAATATTTTTATTTGTTTTTTCACTAAATTGATATATTGTCATTATTATCACCAGAGTATATCATAACCCGTTAATTTATTTATTCATTATGTGTTAGTTTACGTTTGATAGATCCGGTCGATTTAACTAACTTCCACGTATTATTTAATTTGTATTTCATTCTCAGTCTTTATCTATTCTCCTTTTCCTCCTCTCTCCATCTTTATCTTTCGGTTTTGAATAATCATGAAATTATCCTCTCTCTCTTTATCTCTTTCCTTCTCTATCTCCCTCTCTTTGCCTGTCTCTCCCCTACTTTCTCTCTCATTCGGTGTTCAGTAATCGTGTTCTCTCTCTCTCAGCTGAAGGGAGGGAAGAAATTAATAAGGTTCCAGGCAATTATTCAAGCATCTGATCCAGCTTTTGGGGCCGTAATTAATTTACATGAAACTACAGCTTAATTAATAGGTGATTCTCGCACGTGTTATACAGGTGTTATACATCAACATACCCACATTATAACACCAACATACTGAATATAACACCAACATACTGAATATAACACCAACATACCCACATTATAACACCAACATACTCAATATAACACCAGCATACTCTATATAACACCAACATACTCAATATAACACCAACATACTCAATATAACACCAACATACATTATAAGACCAACATACTCAATATAACACCAACATACTCACATTATAACACCAACATACTCACATTATAACACCAACATACTCACATTATAACACCAACATACACACCAACATACTCACAATATAACACCAACATACTCAATATAACACCAACATGCTCACATTATAACACCAACATACTCACAATATAACACCAACATACTCACATTATAAATAATTCAACTATATACCACATTATAACACCAACATACTCACATTATAACACCAACATACTTACATTATAACACCAACATACACACCAACATACTCACATATAATATAACACCAACATGCTCACATTATAACACCAACATACTCACCATAAATACCAACACACCAACATACTCACATTATAACACCAACATACTCACATTATAACACCAACATACTCACATTATAACACCAACATACTCATTATAACAACAATATACTCACATTATAACACCAACATACACAATTAACATACTCAATATAACACCAACATACTCACATTATAACACCAACATACTCACATTATAACACCAACATACACACCAACATACTCACATTATAACACCAACATACTCACATTATAACACCAACATACACACCAACATACTCACATTATAACACCAACATACTCACATTATAACACCAACATACTCACATTATAACACCAACATACTCACATTATAACACCAACATACACACCAACATACTCACATTATAACACCAACATACACACCAACATACTCACATCTGCTTCACGTCGATCAGGCCAAAGCCAACAGGTAGGGTGACATATTTTCTGTTCTTCATCTTCGCCAAAGCCAAAAGAGTCTCCAGCTCAGCCAGTCGTTGGTCACTCACTCGCTTCTGTCTGTGAGCAGGAAGAGTGAGTGAGTGAGTGAGTGTGTGAGTGAGTGAGTGAGTGTGTGAGTGACGTACCCACGTGTGTCCTGTATATCGGCAGATACAAATATATCAAAAGAGAGAGAGAGAGAGAGAGAGAGAGAGAGAGAGAAATATCACACACAGACAAAATATATTGAGAGAGAGAGAGAGAGAGAGAGAGAGAGAGAGAGAGAGAGAGAGAGAGAGAGAGAGAGAGATCCACACACAATAAAGAGATATCTCACACCCGGAGAGACTTACCTATGAGGGGGTCTGGCAGCGGCCGGGGGAGTGAGTAGTGCACAGCAGATCACTAGCAGCAGCAACAGCCTCATGGTGCAGCACACCTCCTGCAGGCACACAGGCGAGTGAGTGAGTGAGTGTGTGTGTGAGTGAGTGTGTGTGTGTGAGTGAGTCAGTGTGTGTGAGTGAGTGAATCAGTGTGTGTGTGTGTGTGTTATTAATTCCTTTCATCAATCTCGCTATTGTGATGACCGTCTCCTAGTCCCATGTGTATCTATATATCACGCACACACACACACACACACACTGAAATATAATAAAAATTCTCACTAATTAACGAAACAATTAAGCAGAGTTACAATAAAGGATAATATAAATGAACACATATAAAGCAATAAAAATATATCGATTATGTAAACCGTAAAATAAAAAAAAATCTCGATTATGTAAACTGGAAAATATAAGAAAAACAAAAGAAAGTAGTATTTACATTTATACATGACGTCACTTGTTCCAATAAACCCTAACAAGACTTATTCAATTCTATACAATATACACCCACTATACATTACATCCTCCATACAAACCCAATTCCTTAACCAAATCACAATAATGTATGCATATTGCGTCAGATTACAGGCTCTATGAAAGCAACGGGAGGATGGAAAACGCCTCACAAACACCCAGGGAACGAGGCAGCATAAAATGATTGGGTGTTGTATGAGGTGATGGCATGTTCTTCCCCCCGTTGATGTGGATATTAAACGCGTGTTATTGAGTCAGTGTTAATACGCTCTCCTCTCATCACTTAGGTATTCACAGGGAGGAGGGGGAATTGGCTATTATTGAATATATTCTTCATTAATACAGTAACCACATGCATCATATATATGTTTATTGTTTCTCATATATATTCACATTTATATATAATACATATAAGCATAGATAAAAACATACATATTAATATACATAAAAGCATTCACACACGTACACACACACACACACACGTATGTATACATCATATAGTTATACTCCCCAAAAGTGAACCAAATACTAACTTCCTCGGTGTTATTGTTGATGAGAAACTTAGCTGGAGAAATCACATACAAGCTATTCATAGTAAAGTCAATAAACAGTGCGGTATCCTGTATCACACTCGACAGTCACTCACTCTCACAGCAATGAAAGAAACCTATTATGATGTTTACCAACTCCCGATACACTATGGGACTCATGGGAGGCCTCTAGCACCACTAAGGCATAACCCCTGGTCACTGCCCAGAAGAGAGTCGTGGGGATAATGACCTACTTGAAAATAATGATCACACAAAACAATTTGCTAAATATTTTTTTTTTAATTTTAAGATATTAAGACTAAGTGCTGTGCTCTATTTGTTTATAAATAAGTTAACCATTTGACTAAGAAAAATTATTTGGTATTTCGGAATAACCAGAGGTACAACTTAAGACACCCAGAGCTTCTAAGACCACCACCCCCCATGCGCTCCTCTCAGTCCAAGACCTTCCTTCCTTTAAATAATCTCTTAAACAAATATCTATTGTCTAAGTATTAATAATTTTGTAACACTTACTTTATACTCTTAATTTTATTGTAACACCAAAACTATTACAACAATTACTGTATAAAGTCGCCGTCAAGACCTGATCCTGACCGTGAGTGTCCCCTTAACGCTCCCTGTATCGCTTCCCTCACCTACCAGATTATTAACTAAACTCCGCTGTAAAGATGTTATATGTCTAGAATATAAATGTAAAAATAAAAAAAATAAATAAAAATAGTGATAAAAGTGGTAACACGCTCATACGTATTTACTAACACCATGTTACATTTAGTAATCCAGATGATACTAAATGTTATATACTAATTCCTTGAGAAATATGTACAATTACACTATATGCCACTAAGAGAGCTCAAGCCATGTTAATATTGTTCTTATTGTACACTCTGTATTTGTATGTTTCTGGCTAAATTAACTGTTTCATCATCAAATATGTAAGTATATATACCCCCCCCCCCACACACGTTATCTCTGTACCCAACAACTGGCACACGTCTTAACCTCTTTTATCAGATAACACAAAATAAAAAGAATACCAGAAAAACTCACTACTCACCATAATCACTCTAGTACTCTACGAGCCTGATCTAACGCTCACTCTGCAAAGGGGTCTGCAATATGCAATGATCGGACAGCAGGGGGTAAATTCACCGCCGGACCTCTCAGGCAGACCAACTACACCCAACAACGGCGCCGGTGGCAGTGAGGTCCTCAGCCAGAGACCACCCCTCTTATATACTCACCTTCCTCTGACGTCACCATTCCTGTACGTCATCAGGATCCTATGACGTCACGGGGCGTCAAATCAACATCTAACTGCCTACACTAATCGATTTTCCTCTTAAAAATTATATTAAATAAAAAAAGATTTGTTTTCTTCTTGATTTTCATATATGGGTATGACATCTTTGAGGTGACTCTATTAGTTTGTGTTCCTATAATATACAGAATATATAAATCTTTTCATGTGGCTCGTGTTGTCAGATCTTTCTTGGGGTAATGTATGGTGACTGTATGTTGCAGGATGGTGACGTCACTACACGGTACAGTAGTTACAGCGATGATACTTGAGATCCTGAATATTCTGTACCATATATTGAGTTGTAAGGCGGTGCCCACCTCACCTGAACTAAACTGACCTGATTTGAACGAACCTAACCTAACCTGACCTGACCTGACCCGATTTGAACGAACCTAACCTAACCTGACCTGACCTGATCTGAACGAACCTGACCTAACATAAGAACATAATAATGGAGGAAACTGTAGCGGGTCTATTGGTCCATACTGGGCAGTCCCGTTTACACCCAACCCCTATCGCTCATATATCCATCCAACCTATGTTTGAAGCTATCCAGCGTGTTCGAGTTAATGATGATATTTGGTGACTTGTTCCACTCATCCACTACTCTATTTTCAAACCAGTGTTTACCTATTTCACGCCTAAATCTAAATTTGTCTAATTTAAAACCATTGTTACGAGTTAGCTCCTGGTTGGATAGTTTGAGTACCTTTGTTATATCACCTTTGTTTAGCCCTGACTTCCATTTATACACCTCTATCATATCGCCCCTCACTCTACGTCTGTCGAGGGAGTGCAAATTAAGATGCCTTAACCTGTCTCTGTACTCAAGGTTCCTAATGCCCGGGATTAGTCTTGTCATTCTCCAAACCTAACCTGACCTGACCTAGCCTAACCTGACCTAACCTAACCTGACCTGACCTAACCTAACCTGACCTAACCTAACCTGACCTAATCTGAACTAGCCTAACCTAACCTAACGACAGATGTCTTTCGCACAAAATGGATTTTACAACACAGTGATTAATACACTACGAGAGAGAGAGAGAGAGAGAGAGAGAGAGAGAGAGAGAGAGAGAGAGAGAGAGAGGTATCCCAAACCGACTTTGCGAGTACACCCTTTGGTCGGCCAGGGATGGGATAAAGGTCACATTACACTCACCACGCAACAGCCCCCACCCTTAACCTACACATACACAGGGTTGGAGGAGGTGTATCAGGGTGTGAGAGGTGAGGTACACTTGGAGTTTGCGTACTGTGGTGTCAAGGTGAGGGTGTACCTGTGATAGGCGCGGTAATGAGCCAACCTACTTGACGGGTTAATGGAGGGTGACCTAAAATACTGTGTCCGAGAGGTGCTTCATGAGTACATACAGTTGAGTTTTGTATACGTACACAGACGCACACAGACATATATATAGACTTACACGTACACACATATATATAATAAACACGCACACACACACACAAAACACTACAAAACAAAGATGGCGTCAAAATCACCCCAAGACTATACAGAATCAGCAGACAATCCACACCTCCCCGTCAGCCCTGAGACACAACCCACTGACAACCTCTGAGAATATCACAGCTAAATCCTATTTGTTTAGCTTAAGTATACAGTATAGCTGTGTGGATCATAGCGTTGTGTCTAATTTAGCTGTGCGGGGAGATATGATAGAAGTATCTAAGTGGGTGAAAGGAATCAATAAAGGCGATATAGATAAAGTTCTTATAATATCCGAGCAGGATAGGACTCGGAGCAACGGATTTAAGTTGGATAAGTTTAGGTTTAGGAAGGAACTGGTTCACAAATAGGGTGGTGGACGAGTGGAACAAGCTTAGCAACTTTGTAGTAAGTGCTGGAACGCTGGAAAGTTTTAAAAGGAGGCTAGATAGATTCATGGATGATAGAGAGTGGTAGTAACTCTCGACAGGAGCTGCCATGCACAGGTCAACCGGCCTATTGCAGACTCCTTATTTTATTATAGCTTTGTGTCTAAGTTAGCTGTGTGGATCAGAGCTTTGTGTCTAAGTTAGCTGTGTGGATCATAACTTTGTGTCTAAGTTAGCTGTGTGGATCATAGCTTTGTGTCTAAGATAGCTGGAATATATAGATGTTTTGAATTATAGCTTTTATTAATTTAGCATAAGCTTTTTGATGTGAACTTTGTGACTGAACTTATTTTGGGGATGAAAGATTAACCTAACCTAGTTAATTAGCAGGTGATATAAGCTGAGCTTTCTGATCATAGAGTGTAATAAGCTTGATTGTCTATCTAATCAGGTGTAATAAGCTTGGTTATCTATCTAATCATCGGGTGAAATAAGCTTGGTTATCTATCTACTCTTCAAGCTGACTCCTATATTCAAACAGACCTCAATAAAAAAATTACCAAAAGGTGTAACTGATATAATATTTCTTCAGTGGAATAATTCATTTGCATAACACAGGTAAGATGGACAGGTAAGATGGACAGGTAAGATGGACAGGTAAGATGGACAGGTAAGATGGACAGGTAAGATGAACAGGTAAGATGGACAGGTAAGGTGGACAGGTAAGATGGACAGGTAAGATGGACAGGTAAGATGGACAGGTAAGACGGACAGGTAAGATGGACAGGTAAGATGGACAGGTAAGATGGACAGGTAAGATGGACAGGTAAGATGGACAGGTAAGGTGGACAGGTAAGATGGACAGGTAAGGTCAGGTAAGATGGACAGG